CCAACATCCTTGCCATTCATTAAATCTATTAATCCTTTCGTTAATGTGTATATATAATCTTTTGTGTCGATTTTGAATTGTGGTGAATTTCCACTAAATATAATTCTAAATCCATTAAACAATAAACCTTGATTATCAACGATTGGTGAAATGCTCTTTGGTAAATCTGGGTCAGGGTTTGAAAAAAGACGATTTATATCATCTAATGTCCTAATTATAACACCACTATATTCAATCGCTTTGGGAGGTGTAGGTTCTATAGGAGGTTTATATTCTAATTTCCTTTTAATATCCTCTTGAGATTTTAATATGGGTTGAAATAGAGTTTGTAGATTTTCCGTTAATCCGAGTTGTTGTAATCTGTTATTTTCAACTTGGGTCTTTATTTTATTCTCTATTTCTTTTTAAAATATTATTCCAATCCATTTTTAAAAAAATAAAATTAACATATATCTGTCATAACTCTTTCACCCGTAGGTTTTCTAGTATTTACAAATACATATCCATGATCATCTGGATTTCTCAATTGAGCTTTACAAACCTTTTTAAATGCATCTTTGTCCATTCCGTGATTTATCGATTGAATGATTTGAGATAAATCTTTGTCGTTTAATTCAAATAATAAAAAACAATTTGCATATTTTCTAATGAACATAGAATCCATCCCGTAAAAAGATTGGGATTGGTATATGCAGTGACAGTTGTGATGTCTTCCTTTAGTGAAGAATTCTTGTTGAACAGTTTGATTTCTTTGCGCTACACAGTCGTCAAACAATATTAAGTTCTTTCGCTCGCTATCAATTTGAGACAAATCTAGATCATTAACATTTTTCGTAAGAAAAACTTTTATATCCGTTGGTTTCATTCCTTCGATGTAGTTATCTATGAAATCTTTCAATTCCACTTTTTCTTCGTTTTCTTTGTAATATTGAAATAAGTCTTGAACATCTCTCTTTGGTAGATATTCTAAAGTTTTAAGAAATTGATAATACGACTGCTCTGGTGCTGTTGTGTAGATATACAAAGAATCGAAATCTAAAAGGTTTGTTGTTGTCAACATGTTAAAAGTGAGATGAGTTTTCCCAGAACCGGAACTACCGCATATACACATGAGCATTGGGTTATTAGGAAATATTTCTGAATGATTAAATTTTTTACCCATTTTTTATTATTTTAATTTGTTCCAAAAATCACTCCTTCTCCTTTATACTTC